GTGTGCTTTGGTTCTCCACAATATAAACATAATCCTTCTTGACGACAACGAGTCTTTTCTTGCTCAGTAAGAGGTTTGAAACGTACTACATCAATTTGCATATCCTCTACTTCCGAATGTATGTATTGAAGAGGTGTTGGTGTTGCCATTGAATTATAGTAACGTTGAGGTTCACTTGTACAGTTCTCAGATCAGAATTCAAAAAGGCGATTTTCGCAGTTCATAGCAAAGTCAATTGCTTAACTCAATGTTTGAGGATCAGGTAAGTTGAGCATTAATTTTTTTACCTCATATTGTAATCCGTAGAAAAATTGGCTAATAAGTGCAGCATCATCTCACTTGATATCAATTACAAGTTGTCGAAATTATGAAGCATATAACGTTACTGATCGATTATCTTATCGTAAAATATGGATCTTATTAGTTGTAACACGAATTACATCATGTTCTCCATACATAGATCGAAACTCTATCAAAAAAGCCTCTAGATTATTCAATATTAGATCTCGTCGTTCAAAAAAAGATGAAAACCACAATAGTGTTGAACCTAAAAGAAGCGTACCAATGAATCTAACTTGCGATCCTGGAGTTGGATAGCTTTGGAGTTGAAGTTCAATCACAAGTTGCACTTAATTGATAAATCCTCGAAACTTGGATCTAGTGCCATCAAACTTCTCGAATAGGACAATTCTTGGTTCTTTAATATTTGAAGGGCATTCCACCATAGGAGAAAGGACATGGTTTAGTGTAGATGTTGAAGCAGCTTCAATCATTTCTATATCTTCACTTCTTGCCAATCTTGTTGCTCCTTGTAGTGGTAAATTGAGTTGATGCATCGCAAGCATTAACTCTCTCAATTGCTCTTGCATTTGTGCCATTGCACTCTTCATTTCAACAAGTTTTGCCATGATAACACTTAGAAAAGAAAAGATGTCTAATATCGCTCAAGACAAATAGAAGAGAGGACTTGAGAACAAAGAAAATACTAAGGACAATATCAGTTTAGAAGAAGGTAATCCGCAACTTCTAATATGCTTATATCTTATAAAGAAAAAGGGGTAATCCACTCTTAATCAAGATTAGACAAAGCTCTGATATTGTAGGTGTACTCTTGTCAATATGTCAAGGACAAGCACTCGATGAAAAAATAATTCAAATAAGTGAACCTTTACTCAAAGAGAGGTAACAAAATATATATAAACAAGTATATATATTGAAAGAGAAACTGGAATGGCTATTGCCAAAAGACAAGAAAACTAAAGACCCTTGAAACTAGACTAGAAGCAAGAAAGGAGTTGACAAGAGTGAAGGAGCCTTCACTCTTGTCTCTATATATACTATCTAACTAGGGGCTACGTGGCGACGTTCTATAGGACCTCCAATATGTGTTGACTTTGTAGGATACATGCCTTGACTTACAAGGCAAGTTCTTCTATGTGTGGGCTATATAGTTAGCTTGACCTTTAAGCTAACAACATGTGTGGCACATGGCCAACTTGTTGACCACATTTCTAATCCAAAAAGTCAATTAAAGATACCTATAAAGTCAAAGCAGCATCTATGAAGCTTCTAGGAAGCTTTCATATTAAATACTATAGAATTAACTTATTTTTATCTACTTTTACTTACTTCTACCTATTTGTATATGTAATTACTAGATTACATGATTATGTCCGTGACACCATGTTGGAATTGTCTTCTACAAGACTAGGTTTGTTTGTTTTGCTTAATATATGTTATTTAATTCTTTTCATTTTTTTATGTTTTAAAAAATTATAATCATTATTTGAAAGTCCAATTGGACTTATCTTAAGAAAGATAGTTAGTCTTGTATTTTGTCTTATAAATTTTTAATTTCTTAAGAGAGTTGCTTATTGGCTTTAAATTGAAGAAAGCAACAAAATGTAGATTGTAGCTAAATTAGAACAAGAAGATCAAAGGCAATCCACCTTCAAGGATTGAATCAACTAATAAAGAGGTTGCACAAACTGGCTTAAGACCTTGTTATAATATCTATTTCCAATTAATAGAATGAATTCTAAAAAATTATCTAATTGAATATTTTCATAAATACCATTTTTTTTATCACCTTCTAATATGTCTAATTTACATATTTTTTAACTATTTATCTTAAATAATCAAGGGTGTTGACTCTTAATTTTTTATTAGAAATTTTATAGCTTAAAAGTTATTATTAGGTTTTTTAATCTATTCTAAGAACAACTTCTTAGTAATCCATTCAGAATTTGTTAAAAATACTTATTCTTCAATATATGAAAAAAATTCTTTAATAGATTTTTAGATTGTTGTTTGCTTAACCTTACATACTCTCTCATTTTCAATATTGCAGCAAGTTTAAATAATTGATTTATCTTTTTATTTAAAACTAATAATTCTATCATATCTTCTTTATATAGTAAATCAAATATTATAGAATATTTTTAATATCAAATTATTTTATTTCATCAATCATAACTTTTAAAGCTTTTGTAGCCAAAACGTCTTTTTGTTTAATATTTTTTGTAGTTGTTGTTGCATATGTAAGATAAATGCTTAAAATTTATGAATAGTTATGAAATTATAATGCATATCTAATCTTTACTAAAAGATACACTTTAAGTTCTAACTAAGTAGGTTGACTCCATCTTAACTTCTTTTTTTTTGCTATGATGTCTTTTATCTTTGCTATTTTTTATATAGATTTTTTTATCATGTAAAAATAAATTCTATATAAAGGAATAAAACATAGAAGAAAATCCAATGACAAATAATAATAATTTTTTAAAAAATATTAGTTTTTAGAAGAACAATCAATAATTTCTAAATTACTTTCATTATGTGACAAAACGAGATAATTTATTTTTAATCATTTGTAACATTCTTTTAAGAAAAATATGATTTTAAAATTATAAATATTAGTGCTCTTAAAAATTTTAAAAATAAATCTAAAAATATATATAAAAATATAATCTATTTTTAATTATTTTAAATTTTAATTCTTCATCATTGATTTCAAAAATATAATAGTTTTTTTAATAACAAGAAATCTCATTATTTTATCTATTAATTTAATATTTCAATTTATTTTGTTTGATATATATATAATGATTAATTGTAATAATTTGAAGATTGAATCATCCCAATTTTATTTTTTTCAACAAGACAAACATAGCTAGACTGCAAAACTCTAATAATTATATGCTGATAATATACAAAAATACTTAGATATCAATGTGATTAAATATATTTAGTAATACATAAGTTAAATATTCATAATTATACTGTACTTCATTTTTTCAATAAAAAAATCCTCAATTATTTGTTCATAGAATTATATTTATATATATATATATATATATATATATAGTTATCATACAGCATTTTTCATTTTTCATGTTTTAATATTTGGAAAGATAAATTTACGTTCAAAGAAAATTTTAAGTTATAAATATCTCAAATTAGCCTCTATAAACAAAACACGCACTTACATATACACGTACATATACCAACAATTAACATGCAAAATAAATGGTTTGGTGGAGGAAACGGGTGAAGGGGTGGGAGGGGACATGGGCGAGGGGGTCACGTGGGAGCGAAAGCCACGTCAGACAGATAGGTCAGCACAGCATAGCGCGGGAACGTCGGGCGCCACGAAGTTTCCCCGCCGCGGCGGGAGGATCCCCCCCACGACGAGGCTGACTGACTGTCAGACTTTCTCTGTTTCGCTCTCCCACTTCGCTTCCCTGCGAGAATACAGCGTCTTTGTGCCAAAATCCTTGCAGCATTCAATGAGATCGGAGCTGTGAGCAGGGGATCTGCATCCCGCTTCGGATGCCGGGAGCACACTCTCAGCGCTGCACCTGAACACCATTGATTCGCATTTGTTTAGCAATTCGTCGAATTTAGAGCTTGATTGAGTCGCAATTTGATGGATGTTCCAGCATTGAAACAAGTCTGCTGGGTTGTGGTGATGCTAGCACGTGAAGAAGCTCAAGTTCCGGCACAGGGACGACGATTTGGAATGGTGCACTTCGGCAGCTGGTTGAAAACCATTGAAATTCACTCCCTTAACCATTCGCCGACCCGTCTGGACCCTTAAAAATCCGAGGAACTCTTGGTGCACGTTATTGCAGAGGAAGATGAATGCCACTCCACCTGCTGTTTGCTTGTAGACCTCATAAAAAGTGCCGAAAATTGACGTGGATGGATTTGGTGCAAAGTTGTGTTCAGGTAGTCAATGACGTGTCTAGAAAGTTCAAGGGCCGGAAATCTTGACTTTGGGCGAATCAGTGTTGCTCATACATTCAGGTGGCCAATCGTGGGTTCGGAAAAGTTTCAAAGCGTAGTGGGTTTGATAGTATACGAATGTTTTGATCGTACTGGTCGAATTAGCATTTAATAACTTGTACCAAACAGACATCACGTACGTACCCATAATACGGAAAGAATTATTATTAAACTGAAATGAATTGACGATAACAGAAACAATAATATTGTTGGACTGCGAGAATGCTAATGCGATTGAAGAAGAGCTTCATGTTCATTTTTGAGGTGCTGCAATAGAACTGGCACACATGGTGATGACGCTGCCTTGGAATTCCCGTCAGAACCAGGAGCTGGAAGCGTTTGAGGACAAATGCACAAAATAGGTTAGAATCTCATCTTTAGCACACAGTTACGCGCGATGAAGATCGATAGGGCTCTGCAAGTGGAATGATGGTGGCATGAAGTCCACTGTTCAACGCGTTGAGATATTATGGTTGGTATCGGAGGCAGCTGAAGTCACTGCGGATTCCATCACGTAATCCTCGTAAGACAGGCGCCATGAGTATCGTTAGGCGGCGCCTTCAAGCTACTTAAATGATATGATATGATCCATGTAAGTATACGATGCCAAGCCTGGGAAATTCATGAAACACCCAAACCCACAGGATTAAGCAGAATCCATAATTGGCATTCAATGGTTGCTTGCACATACAGGTGATTACATCATGCGAAGGTATCAAAAGAGCCCTTGAGAGGAAGGCACTACGTTGCATGCACTGGCAATTGGAAAGCAAATTCAGAGTTGAAAAACACTACAGAGATGGTTAATCAAAAATGTCCTAAATCCATAACCGAAAATTTGTACAAAGCCATGGCTACTTGATTGCTAATAATGAGAGCATCTTCCGCTTCTGGACCGGAGCTCCAGGAGTGGTTTCTCTAATATCCCTCTCTCGATCCCTGTTATGGTCCCTAGCATCCCTATTTTTGCTGGATGGTGGTTTGGGATTCCCATTCTCTTGCGATTCAGGTGTCTTGGCGCTCTCGGCTGTTGGCAGGATCTTTGCTTTCCGGCTCACGGACTCCATCAATCTACTCAAAGTTTGCTGTTCTTTGAGCTTGGCGGCACGCTTGTTGATCAAGTCTTGGTGATGAACACACAACGAGTAACCGGGTTCAGTGAGACGAGAACATTGCCAACCCCTGCCATCATAGCGCTTGCACTGCGTGGGGCCTTTGCCTTTCTGCGAGGAAGAAGGCCCGCGCCGTCTGGTAACTTTCACCACTGTTGGCTCGGCAACTTCCTCATCAGAAGTTTGTCTCTCTTCCTGGACGGGGTTCGGTAGTGCCATACCGTCCTTGGATTTCTCAGTTTGCGCATTCTTGCCATGCCTTGTACTCAAGTGGGAGCTCTTCTCGGTGATCGTCGATTTGCTCGACTGCTGCAAGTTGCTTCCTCTCCCAGGTTTCACTCCATACTGTGAAGAATCGTCTTCGTTATTGGGTGATTCCTTGCCATCATTACCTGATCCTGGTGATGCGCTCCTATGCACGGGCCGGGTTGCACCAGTTGGTTTCTTCGATTCTGTTCTCACATCCAAAGTAGAGCAAAGCAGATATTTCTTGTCTCCTAATGAGATGAAAGAGGAAGAGGATCGGAGAACATTGGCTACTTGGACAGTGTGTCTTGCTCCACCTTCCTTGAGCCCTGGAAGACGTTGTTCTAACATGTACTTAACTACCTCGCTAGCCGATAGACCACTCTCGCCACAAGTGTCGAACACGTAAAATATGGAACTTATCAAAGCGTCTTTGGAATTCTCCGTGAATTTTAGTGGTGGCAACTTCGCTGGCACTTGTTCTGTTGTTGTAGACTGTTCTGAAGCAGCCAACCTGCAAAAGAAAGACATTGCGCGGGCTCCATCTCATCACAATGGTTGTCGTTCATGATCCATTCAACTGATGACAATCCTTCCTCATGACACGAGATTCTCCAGTTGACGAAAAATTAGACATCCTCGACCTCGTGAAACAAAGATTATGTACCTTTGACGCACACCATTGGCCAATTCATTCACCACGAGCAGCTCTGCCGCAGTCATGGAAGAAGACCCCTGCAAACCCAATAACACTCGAGTCAGTCTAAAGATTTTAAAGCTATCACAGTAGTCATCGATTAACGTGGGCTGATCCATTCATCATCTTCAGAAACCCTGTGTCAACTGCCCGGGGATAAAAGGCAGAGAAATGATGAATGAGTGCAGATCTCTACTCTCGGTTTAGGCGTAAACCCCAGAGTCCCATTCTTTAGAAAGTTGTGTGAAGTAGAGCGCTTTTGTTAGGTCATGAGCGGCTGAGTGAACCAAACCCTCGGAATCATGACTGTTTGAAATCTCCGAGGCTCTTCATCATGATCCTATACAGCAAACACTAGAGAATCGATAGCTAGACCTACACGTAGACGAGCAGCTATTTCAGCGATAAAATGTTGACTTATGTTGTGAAGACATGAGGGCCGTGCAAAGTCGACTGGTAGAGACGGTCACTGTCTTGTGTATATTACAACGCTGACAGGATTCCCTACATCTCCGGCTTTCTAGGCGCCCTAAGCTTCGTCCTAATTCTTACAACGATAACCCTAACTTTAAGAGCTTCGCACTGGCGCAATGACGCGACCGTTATCCGCAATTAGACATGTGAAACCTAGCCACGAAATAGAAGATGCCACTCAGGATGAACCATTTTCACACTGCTTGTGAAGATTGCGTGCCAACTTCGAAGGGCTGAAGATTGTTAAAGAATAATTATTGGGGTAAACTGCTGCGCCAATTGAGCATTGAAACCGACTGAAGTAACGGAACACGCTGTGATAACCGAAGTAACACACACATGTAGGTGGGAAATTGCAAACTCTCCTCCAGAACAGCACTCATGAGAAGTGAGAAACTACATTACACCAACCACTGCGAATTTGCAGATTCCCGCCCAAAGTAGAGCTTAGTACCGATTCTTCAAAGTAACCGGAACCAAGTCAATGTGACCAGGCCCCCACATGCGAAAGTGGACCCCGTATGGCAAGGATTCAAGTTCCTACAGCTTTCCCCAACCCAATGAAGAAGTTTGTCGCTGCTGTGAACTTGCGCATTGGGTTGCCGAGGCTCTCGAATGAAGACTAGAGGGAAGTACTGCACGAAATTTGCAAGAATATGGCAACTGCATGTAAGTGAAACAAATGAAAGCACCAGCACACAAGCAAGTACCTTGAAAATAGGACTCATTTCGTGTTCAATCTTTCGCCTCTTCGTGGGTGACTCCTTTTGACGAATTTCGTCGGTAACTGCGTCCTCGGGTGGACATGACCGATCTGCATCGCTCTCAATGGTCTTAACAACTGCATCAGATAGTCGGTGATTCTCCAATTCCTGCCCAAGCGCAAACACAAACGCCGACTGAGAAAATGAAAAGAAGCACGAAACGCACGAGAGGCCCGCCACGACCAAGCGTACGAGGTCTAAACTGCACTGGAACTAACTGGACACGCACACCCTCATTGAAGTCGTCCCAAGATCTCATCATGGATATGACTGTCTGTTTGAATCATACAGCAGCGATGCACGGGTCCCAAAAAGTATGAACCTCTAAGATTTCAAATCCCCAAACCGTCCAGATCCTATCGCCAATTCCGATCAATTCGCGACTACTGCAGGATGCCTGCATCTTGTTGTGCCTGAACCTTGAAACTCATGGAAACCAGAGAAAAGGATCGAACAGTGAAACCCCGCCCAAAGAAAAACTATTGAGCACTCCTCATCACCAACAATCCCCGAGCAGACGAACCCCATTTCCCGACCCACATACAGCGAACTGAAATCCACCACATGCAGCGGGCCGCTGCAGGAAAGCCGAAATCCAAGACGTGATTCTTGCGTCATGCGCACGTCACACCAAGAGATCAGATCTAGAACCACTCCACCGGACTACGGTAGGAATCACCCGGCCCAGTTGACCGAATTGCAGACCATCGTGTGGTTTCTGTAACCATCGCCTCATACTACGCTCAACAAAAAGGATTGCTGTGTCTCACCGGCGGCTCCGCGCACACCTCGGAGCTGGACTGGGGCGACGCCGGAGGCAATCCATCCTCATCCCCTCGCCGATTCTCCTGCATGCTGCTGCATACAGTGGCGGGCGATGCAGCTGCGCTCTTGTCCCTAGAGCTCCGCATGACCCCATCCGTCGGCGACGTCTGATACTTGTAGGAGATGGGCAGCGGCCACGTCGTGGCTGGAGCCACCAACTGACTCCGCTTGCGGATCCTCATACGCCCCCCAACACTCACACTGAGACAGACCTAACAGCAGGCGATGAGGGGAGAAAGTGAGAGGGAGAGAGAGAGGAAGGGAAAGGAGAGAGACGACAGACGGGACACGAGAGCGAGACGAGCGTGCTGGAAGGAGGTGCGAGAGAGGGAGCCCCCACCGATGCAGGCCTAACGAGCAAAGCCCCGGGGGCGTGGCCCAAGCTCAAAGGGTAAGGAAAGTCTTCAGTCACTTGCGATATTCTCGCTCTCCTTTAGTCTGTGTTAGGCTTCCCAATCGCCATGATATGGACTGTTCGCTAAAGAAAGACGTCCATCCTAAGGTTTAGTTTGCTCCTCCCACTATTTTCCACCCCATGCGGCTTATTTTAGCTGACCCTCTCCTATCCCCCTCCCCCTCCCATTTTAAAAAGAAAAAAGAAAAGGAAACCATGGAGTGAAATCCAGTGGCAGGTGCGCAACTGCAGGAAGGTTATGCTTTCGTGGCTTCGGTCCCACTGCTGACTCTATTCCGAGACTATCCCCCCCCCCCCCAATGTTCTTCATCGCTGTGGTGGCAGGTATCATCTCGGATCTCGTTGCGTCACACACAACTTAGTCAAGTTCGCACCAAGCTTAGCAAGATGCCGTCGCCGAAAACCTGCATCATCTTCATCCTCCACCATCTCTCACTGTCTGCCATCATCTCAACACTCCCGCGATCGCCCTCTCCCAGACCAACTTCAACAATTGCAGTTTCGCCACGGCCCGCAAATACAGTTTCCAGTTTCTAAGATTAGCACTGCTCTACTGTAGCTACTGGGCGTGAGATAGTCTGTATGTGTCTCCCTGTCCCGAAATCCTCCCCAGTGGCAGCATTATTTGAGTGCCCTCCCTGCGTCAAAGCCCTTCAAGGCCCCCCGCTTCCTCCTACTCAGCCCGCCCAGTCAATCAGTCTCTCCATGAAGATACAAAACAAGTCAATTGCTCCCACCAACAGCTTGGGGCTCTCATAACAAACTGCAAACAACGAGTGGTCGGATGCCTCCATCACCGACGCCATCACCGCTAATCTGCAAACACTGCATCGATGTTTCAGAATTCCTAGATCAGAATCTCTTCCAGATTCTACACAACAAAATCTGTTGTTACATTAATGGATGAAATCAGACTAGCCATTCAACTTTTGTGTGATATGACATGGCATTGGGGTAACAGGTTCTTAATACGAATCTGGCAGAATTGACGTAGCAACTTCCATCATGAAATGTGGGTCAGGATCGCCGAGGTCTTGCGATGGGGAAAAAGTGAAATTAATTAGTATTGGCAAGTGGGGGAGTTTTGGTTTTAAATAACTCCTGTACAAAGTTTACTGCTTCGCCATGCAATGCCTGCCGTGTTTTGGTCGTTACCACGTAAAACATGCTGGATAGATGTATTGATCGTGCCTACAATCAATCAATATATGTATATATATATATATATATATATGAATGAATGAACTGTTGAACTGCTACCACTATGTTGTACGCTTGTTTTTCAACTGGAAACCTACCCAAGGTCTTTTAGACTGCATCTTGGTTTAAGTTGATGAATAGTCAAAATTCTGAAGGCATTTTGGTTGAATAAGCTTTGCATGCGATAGTCCTTCCTTGTACCAACCGCACTAGATTGTGTGAAATGGTTGATTTTCCCTTTGATTAAAGAAAACAACAGAGTGTTAACTCATGGTCGGAATCTATAAGAATATCTAGCTTAAAATCTACACCTAGTTATTCCAAAAAAAATCAACATTAAATCTTCTTAAAATAACAAAATGTAAATATCATACTCATCTGAGAACCTTCTCAAGTGAAGAATATTTATATATATATAAGAGAGAAAAACAAAAAATCAAAAAATCAAAAAATCAACAACAACAACAACGACAACATAGTATAAACTTATCTGTTAGTTATTCATTATAGAAACCAATTACACATGGCTACTATCTACAAGTTGCACTTTATTCCAGGATGATTATGTATTCATATTGAAGTTGTAGCTCCATCCAACAAAAGGTCTAAAAAGTCAAATTCAAATGCCCCACATCTAAATACACATTCTTGACAATAAAAGCTGGATACCTCAGGATTAATACGTACCAATGACAACTCTTGGAGGATGGATGAGGTTGAAGTGCATGGATTGGTTTACAGACAAGCAACCACCCTTCCTTACCCACATGTCACCTTAGGCTTTCATAGCCATGTTCCTTTCACAAAATTCACAATTTAATACACATGGTTTCCACAAACCAACACTTCTTGTGAAGAAATCTACCCAAATCCCTGTTAAACAATCAAGCAAACTCTTTGCTTCTCAAAAGAGCTTCAAACCCCAAAGATTGATAAAAAGAAATATCGAATAGAAATCGTGCTCACATGGTTTTGCAAGTACTTTTTGTGTTAACTTGGGCTTGCACAGATTGTTTTGTGGGTTCCCAAAACCGGCTCCACAAGTTATACACATAAATTCTTGCAATATTTGGGAAGAAAATAAAAGTATATATTTATTAATAAAAGTAATACAAGCACATTTAGTCGATGCAAAAATAAAGATCGATCTCCCCATCTGAGGAAAAAAAGATCACCGGGAAAAGCCCACAACTCGCACCACATGGTCCAAGCTTTCGTATCTAGTGATAAGATGATGTTTTTTTGCCATCAATGATCCTGTAAAAAGCATCCGGCAGTATGTGACCCTGGAAAAGGAGTTCAATGGAGACGATTTAAGACAAGGGGAGTGTGACAATTCGCGGGCACAGAATCGGCAAAGAGCCACAAATACCTATCTGAATGAAGCTCGCATTGATCACCGTTTTATGCTTGCTTGTTAATGGCACTTAAAAGCCATTGTTGGAGCAAGAGCTTGATTGTTTTTAGTTTTGAGCTTTAATTTTTAATTAACTAATCAATTGAAGAGGAACAAAAGGGGTTGTGGATAGATAAGAAATAGATGCATCCGAAGTCTAAGATTACAAAGTCAACGATAGTGGAATATTCCAATGATTGGTAGCCTTTTTAATTTACTTGCTGGCCCCACAAGGCATTTTTAAAAGTCAATGCAGCATCCCTATTCACATGGAACACTTTGTTTGTACTGTTTTCTACTCTGTATAATTTTTTTCAGAACTATTGAACTCAAAAATAGTTTTTCATATTTTTTTATTTATTATTTAGTTCTTGTTATTGAAATAAAATAAATTAAACAATGTGATGGCGACAGTGACCATAATGAAAGATTAAAATTGCTAAATGCAAACATTCAATTGCTTAGCATTAGAGAGAAGCTATGAACAATATTGTTTTTTTTTTTTTCTTTTTTTTCTTTTTACCTGTAATCTGAATTATTTTAACTAGGAATTAATTTGTTGTGATTTTAGATATTTTGTAGTAAAAAAAATATTTTCATGAATGAAGGTGCTGTTGCTTCACGTGGGTACATTGTAAGCATCAAAAAGGACGCTCAAACTTGTTGTTCTTTGACTACTTCTAGTTTAATTTGATTTCTCTAATAAAAGAGATACAAATTTTAAAATTTTGAATGGTCTTCAGAAGGTAGTCCTTATGCCTTTCAAAAATCATCATTTGGAAATGTATAAAACTAATTCAAATACATTGGATGGAGAAGACGAAAAATATTTTAAACAGGAAAATAGAATTCAGTTTTAGAAAGTGTTTAATAATCACATTATATTGTTTTGAAAATCTGATGTCGATTTTTACCACTAATTCTTTTTATTCTTGTGTGTGTAATATTGAAATTATTACACCATCTTATATTGTGATATCATAATGAAAGACATTTGAATTGTAATTCATTTGGTATGTCAACCACAAGTCACAATCTATAATCAAACATACATTTTCAAGTTATACACACACACACACTCTCTCTCTCCGCCATTTTAATTATCAAACTTCAACAACTGTAATCTATATATATATATATATATAACAAGAAACCAATCAATAAATCAGTTCACTTCATATTATTTCCGTAACAGTGTTAAGGTTGACAAAAATCAAATGGCTGGCTAAAGCATAAACTTCAGATGAGTTGGCTAACCAGATTGTGGGATGGGAGAGAGAGATGGACGAGAACGGAGAAGACGTCGAATTCGATCCCATTTCGTCATGACTTGCTGGCGGCGAGTTGTTGGCCATGTTCGTTGGTTCACAGATACCATGGATCACCTACGGCTTTACATGGATCGACGACCATCAGCACACACATACACGAAAGCAAGGCCCCATAGTTTTACAAGAGTAAAAAAACACTGTGGATCACAGATCGGTAGGATGCCGGTCGACGGGGATCGCAGGGTCCAGGTTTCAGAGACCAGTCCTGTTGCTACACAACCGTTATGCCTCGACGTCTCATTCCCATCATTCAATGCCTTCCTCCTCGAACTTGGCCCTTTTCGACGAAATCAAACTTGCACGTTGGTCAGTTCATCATCGATTTTGAGGTTCAGGGGGTTGGAAACTAAGTATTGCTGCGCTAAATCCACACCCTCCACTTGCAACCTCCTCGGAGCAGGCGCTAGAGCGGCTAGAACCCCAGAGAGCTTTCTTCGGGAGGGTCAGGCGTCGAGCTTCCGCACGTCCATGTTGCAGAGCCGGTCCCTGATGCACCTCGCAGGCGGGCAGTGCCCAAAGCGGAGGAGGAGGAGGAGGAAAGGAGTTGAGCGGATGCCAGGAAATCTAAACGTGGCTTTCCGAGTTGCAGAGACCGAATGCTGCAGTACCGGAGTCGGTGAATAGCTCTCGGAGCCCCCTGTCAGTGGATTCTCCACAGCCTGATGGGAATCAGCCCTGGTGAGAAAGCTCCACACATAGCAAAAAAACACTTTCCTCCTCCACGTTGCTTGCCGCACAAAACCTCAAAAGAAAAAGAAAAAGAAATCGCAGCCAGGGTGGCAACAAATCCTGTTGAAATGGTGCAGCACGGTGCCGTGAATGGGAAATTCCGCATCTGATGTCAACTTGCTGGGTTGAAAAAAAAAGCGCCGCTGCATCTGCATCTTCTCCTGCTGTTGCTGCCGCCCTCACACATCGCCGTTCCTTGTGCTCACATCCACACTGCACACCACACTTTGCCGACATGTGGGTTGCAAACCCCTGTAACCTTTTGAATACGTGATAAGTCATATTCTATACCCTCTTTCATGTTGGGCACTTCGCTTGATTCAAGGCAGAATTGTGGTATTGTTCTGGATGATTCCACTTTCTCAGAGGACTCTTGACTTTTTTTTCTTCCATCCCTCTGCTAAAACACTCGGTTTCAATCGTG